CTACCAGAGCTCCCAAACTGACAACAGCAACTCAAAAGATAAGTTGGGAATATTAGGGGGCAGTGAGTTTATGTTAATGAGGGAGGAACAACTCAGAAAAGGAGGGTGAGAATGGTTGCATAACTTGAAGAATGGAACCAATGTCACTAAATGGTACATGTAGAAACTGTTGAATTGGTGTTCATGTTTTGCTATGGATATTCTCAACAACAACAAAATAAATACAATTTAGGGAAAAAAACAAACTTACTTTTCCTTTCTTTATCTATATATTATCTCCTATATCTTTATTTTTCCCAAGTGGAAATAAGACTTTGTGTTCCTTAGTACACAGAACATGTAATGAGGAAGCCATCGAAACAGAATGTTTTCCTTCATAATGATATATGTAATCTATCGACTCAAGCTTAAGCAGTACACAGAAGTTAAAGATCCAATTCTGGCAAACCTAATGATTTCTACCTTGGTCTTTAATACATTCAAATTTACTAAAAAATGCTTTTTTCACTACTATCGGCACTTTGATTTTTCTGTTTTCCACTTATAAAGCATCAAGAATAAATTTTTAATTCAAGTAACTGCACATATATTGTAAAAGGGAATTAAAAAAAGAGAGTCATGCCGCTAAAATTAAACTACTAGTTGGGAGGCACTGCAAAGTGCAGTGGAGACAACACAGCAGGAAGAGCAGTATGACATAACCAAAAACATACTAGATTTGAAAAACTGAACATCTGACTTTAAATCTACACTCCATCATTTATTAGCTAGTTAACCTTATAAGTCTCTCAACATCTAGTTTTGCATAATGGGACTAACAATGTCTACCCATACCAAAAGATTATGAAGCCAAAAAGGGATAAAATATGGAAAAGTACTATGTGCAAACTGCAAAAAAATTATTAAAATATCAGATATTACTGCCCTATCTCATCTCCCTAACCACATTCTGTCTTGTACCATACTAATTTGAGTATGCACCTTGGTCCCCTGTAGCACCTAGATTATAAACTCCTAGAGGGCCAAGTAAGGAGCTCTGGTGGCACAGTGCCTAATACATTTGCCTGTTAACCAGAAAGTTGGTGGTTCAAAATCACCAGCCACTCTGCAGAAGGCAGATGGGGCAATCTATTTCTATAAAGATTTACTGCCTCAGAAACCCAATGGGGGTTACTATGAGTTGGGATCAACTTCATGGCATTGAGTTTGGTTTGGCTTTTGGATTAGAAGGCCAAGTTGGTCTTTTTGATCAAAGATTCTATAGAAGAATTCTGATCAAAACAGGGAAAAACGCAGGACATAATTTCAACGTTTCATGGAATCCAGACATTTTGGAGCCACTGAGGCTGGATGAACTTCCAAAACTGCTGCCTTGAGATGATCTTTAAATTTTAAATCTTAAACCAAAGCTATCCCAGTATCTTCTTTAAACCAAACAACAGTTTACCTTAATAAGTAAAGAATGTCTGCTTTGAACAGTGTGCTTTTTAAAATAATTATCTATATATGATCAAATTGACAACATCAACTCAAAAGGTTAGGTAAGAAACTTAGGGGGGCAGTGAGTTTATGTCAGTGGTGGAAGAATGATTTGGAAAAGGATAGTGAGAATGGCTACACAACTTGAAGAATAGCTGTGCTGTTCAATTTGCTGTTAACATGGATATAACCTAAGTATGAATAAACATTCTAAGAAATAAATATAAAAGGTAACTTACTCAATATCCTTTCGTACTGATCCCATGAGATTCTCCCTTTCCCGTATTGCCATAAAGTTTGCTTTGGTTTTATGGAATTCATGTGTATAATCCTGCAATAAGTCAACATTCAGTCTCAACATAAACTAATTATGTATTTTCATTTTATCGAACCAGTTATTTACTGTCATCATACTGCAATTTGTTAAAAACAAAAACAAAAACACTGCTATGTAAGAAACAATCTGCCAAAAGGCAAAAATAACTTTATGATTACTTTCCTGAAGAATGATCAATTCTTTCAAACGAAAACGATTTGGTTCAAGGGTAACAGTGCCACTAAATATGTATCTTCTGGCACTCCATTTTATGAGACAGAATTATAAAGAAAAAAAAAAAACTAAGATATCTTCAAATAGCCTAGAATGAAACTTGAGAGGTTCTTTCCACTCATTAATGTATTTGACAGGGCTTATTTTCAAATTTGATCCTTTTTAGAGCTTTCATAGTAATTTCATTCTTAAACTAATCAAAGGAAGAACAGAACCAAGAGAATTACAAAGTACATTTTTTTCATTTTTGTACTACTATATTTAAAAGATACTAAGGAATATTCTTTTTAATTCAGAGAAGTATATAAGTATATAAGACAAAAATTATATCCTATTCCCAGAGAACCCCTGTTGATCTTTTAAAAACAAAAATAACACAAGAACATGGTGAGGATATTCAAAAAGCACCAAAGAAAAAAGAAAACCATCTGGCTCCACAGCTCATAACTATTGCTATCATTTTATATTTCCTTTCAGGAAGTATGTTTTTGCATATATGAGCTTATCTATTATTACTTTCATGTATGCTAAAGAAATCACACTGCTGTACACCTAGCTTTCTGCAGTTCATAAAATATCAAGCAATCTTTCCACATTAGCAAATAGAAATCTACATTTTTTTTTTTTTAAATGCTGTTGTTAGTGGCCATCCAGTCAATTCTGATTCATGGTGACCCCATGTGTTACTGAGTAGAACTGCTCCATAGTGTTTTCTTGGCTGTATGCTTTTAACAGAAGCAGATAACCACATCTCTCTTCTGCAGTACTGCTGGATGAGTTCAAACCACCAACACTTAGTTTAGCTGCATAGAATACTATCTTAAGATACTACCATAATTTAATAAATTCTCTACTGATACATTTTTAGTTGCTTTCATTTTTTTCTGTTCAAAAAGCTGCAATAAACATTCTTGTACATATAGAGAACTTTTTTAAAAAAAGTACATTTGAAGAGTAAATGCCTAGCAGTATAATAAATGCATCAAAGAATCACACATTTTAAATTCTGACAGTGCTTAACTGCCACCTAGAAAGACTGCACTTATTTATGTTCCTACCAACAGTGTATGAATGACCATTTATCTACACTTCTATCAATAATGAATAATAATAGTTTCAATTTTTACTGACTTGACCAGTGAAAAATCCTATCTAATTTTGATGTGTATATTTTAAATTGAGAAGGTGGCTAAGCATCTTTTTGTAGTTTTTCTATAAACATGTTTTGCCATTTTTCTATTAGGCTGTTTTTTTCTTATTTATTTCCATAATTTCTCTGTATATTCATCAGTCATTTGTTATAGTTTCCAATTTTTAGTTTTGTTTAGAACGTCCTTTCTCACTCAAAAATTATAAATAGATTCATTTATGCTTAACTCTGTTTATGGTTTCTTTTTATACATATACATCTTTGATCCATTGGAATTTATTTTAGATGTGAGAATTGAGATAGAGGTTGAAGTTTATTTTTCCCAAACAATTAGCCAACTGTTCCAACATGATTTATTTTATAATCTCTCTTTTTCACACCGATTTGGAATGCCACCTGTCATGGATTTGAATTGCGTCCCCCCAGAATATGTGTCAGTTTGGCTGGGTCATGAGTCTCAGTTGCGTGGTAGTTTTGTAAAAGCCAGGAACCCAGACAGAGGAGCAGTCAGCTGCAGGGATCCAGGTGAGGAGAGGGAACCCAGGCACGCCCAAAGCAGCAGGGCAGGAGAGCGGGAGAAAGGGGATTAAAAGGCCCAGGAACCTGGGCAGAGGAGCAGATAACATATAGCACTGGCCAAGTAGGCTGCAAAGGATTTCTTTCAAGTGCTGAGGAGCAAAGATGTTTCCTTGAGGGCTAAGGTGCTCCTGACACAAGCCATGATATTTTCAATTGCCTCATATGCATGTGAGAGATGGACAATGAATAAGGAACATCAAAGAAGAGTTGATGCTTTTGAGTTGTGGTGCTGGCGAAGAATG